AAGCGATGTCCGCCTGCTCCAGTGGAGCTGCTCTCCAGGCTTCTGTCGCAAAGAGCTGCATGCCACCGAAGGCGCTGTCGAGGTTCGCCGAGCGCGGCGCAGGTTGGGGGAAGCCGCCACCGACGAGCGCGTTGGACTTTTCACTCCGGACAAAGACGGGTAGACGCACACGAGCCGCGGTCGTCTACCCGTCATAGTGGCGAGGCGCGGGACCTCCCCGGTGGGGCCCCGGACCCCACTTCCCGCCTCTGACCTCTCCGTCTCTGACTCTCTGTGAGTGTGACTGTGTGGCGAAGTGGGTGGTGGGGGGGCGTACGGGTAAACCACCTCCTCAAGTTGGACAGCTGTGCTCGGCCGCTCGCCCCATGGGTCGCGGGGCTTCGCCTCGGCCACGTCCCTCGCCTGCTCACAGCTAGAGGTGTGAAGAGACGCCGTTCACACCATCTAGCACCTCCCTCGCCTGCGTGGTGAAGTACGCCGGCTTCGGGGCGGGAATAAGGCGGCGTCGCGCAGTGTCTTCAGAGCACCGCGTGAGATGTCAGGGAGAGACGGGGAATGCAGCTGAACACGGCGCAGTACGGTTGAGTGCGTGTCCTCTCGAGTGCTAGTTGGGACGGAGACATGAGCGCCGTATTCCGCTTCTTGGGCCCGAGAGATAGGGAGATGCGGGGAGGTATTCCGCTTCTAGGGCCCCTCGCCGACGCAACCGCGTGCGTCTCCGCCAGCGCGTCGCCCGAGGCGAGGCCGCGAAGGGACGTGTGCAACCGCCACCTTGAATGGGGCATGAGCCATCGATCAAGCGCTTGAACGCCGCGGAGAGGGGCGTGCGCCGCACAGCACTCTCCACTCCCCACATCTCCCCTATATCTCCCCGTATCTCCCCATGTCTCCCCTATATCTCCACCGGCCGTGGGACTGGAGGAGGGAGGCGTGCAGCTCGTCGATCGCCTGTTCACAGCTCGAGGTGTGAAGAGACGCTGTTCACAGCTGGGAGGCGTGCAGCTCGTCGATCGCCTAGTGGTAGCACGAGGCAGGCCTTCCTCCCAAGGCCGGGGACCCCGACCCCGGGGGACCCCGACCCCCCGCCCAAGCTCCTCTCCAGCATATGGGTCCCAGCATATGCACAGGGGCCGACCGCCTTGACGTAGTCTCCGCGGCACTCGGAGAGGTGAGAGAGCAGCATCGAGTCGAGGTGCTCGAGCTGGTTCTCGATGTTGTCGCGCTGGCAGCCGAGCCGGCCGCCCAGCCGGACCATCATCCGCCGCCGCTTCTCCTGCGCCGCCGGCGCGGTGTAGTGCAGCAGCGCCTCCGCCAGCTGCGACGGGCGGAAGGAGGTGCGCGAGGCGCCCGCGAGCTCGCCCACCACCTGGGTTCGGCGACCCGGGGGGGGTAGGGGATTTGGATTCGGTACCGAGGGGGTAGGGGAGTTGGCCGCGGCACCGTCCCGATGATCGACATGCCCTCCTCGGCGTCGACCACCGCTGGGATGTGGAACTGCGGCAGCCGGCTCGTCACCTTGCGCCGGCGGTACCAGAGCCCAAAGAGCGCGGCGCCAAACGCAGCCATCGCCGGGAGCGCCAGGAGGTACGCGGGGGACTCGACGCGCACGCACGAGAGGGCGGGGGAGCCCGTGTGGTCATAAAAGAGGGCCGAGCAGCACTCCCGGCCGCCGCTGTCGTGCAGCGCAGCCTGCAGCGCCAGCGTCGTGTTCGCCCAGCCAGAGCAGTTGCTGCCGCCGCCTCGCAGTGCAGCGACGGCATCCTCGAGGTCGCCCTGCGCCTGGTCCAGCGCCTCGCCACCCGCCGCCCACGAGCCCGCCGCCCCTCCTCCTCCCTCCTCCGCCGCGAGACCGGCGCCCCAGTCGCCCCTGCACGCGGCCCGAGAGCGCGCCCCGCCGTGCCAGTCACCCCAGACAGGCGCGCCTACTAGAGGGGTGACTCTCTCGCCTACTAGAGCGCCTGCGAGAGAGCGGCTACTCTCTCGCCGCGCGGTGCTCGAGCGGTGCTCGCGTGGAGACCAGCGCCGTGTGACCGATGGCTGTGGCGGAGAACCGGTTGGCGTGTGAGGGCGAGGGTGGCGGGGGCGAGGGTCTGCGGCGGTGAGGGAGATGGCGGCGAGGGAGGCGGTGGTGACGGCAGAGGCAGCGAAGGCGGCGGCGGCGGCGAGGGAGATGGCGACGAGGGAGGCGGGGGCGAGGGCGGCGGCGGTGAGGGCGGCGGCGGGAGAGCAGGCGGTGAGGTGTCGAGGGCGGTGGCGGTGAGGGCGGAGACGGCGAGGGCGGCGGCGGAGAGGAGGGCAGTGGGTTGAGAGCAGCGGGTAGGGGAGCGTCGAGAGGCAAGACACACGGGCGACGCAGGTGTGGGCGGCGAGGGCGGCCGCAGGGCGGCGTGACACCCACCGTCCGCGTCGGCCGCGCTGCCACACAGGAGGCGGAGCACCTGCGTGTCGAGGGGAGGGGGGGGGGGGGGGGGCACCGCATCAGCAAGTGGGTAGGTGGGGCGCGCGCGGCTGCGGGGTGCGGCGGCAGGGCGGGGCGGGCAGTGCCAGCGGAGTGGTGGAGTGCAGAGGGGGCAGAGTGTGAGGGGTGAGGGGTGAGGGGTGTCGTAGACGGGTCCCCGAGGGCAGAGCTCGCTCTGGTCACTGGCCACTGCCAATCCTCCGCCGTCCTCCCAGGCCAGTGCGGTGCGCGCCCTCTCCTCTCAAGCTCGAGGGGGGGGGGTGTCGCGCAGTGGCTGCGGGCAAGGCGCGTGAGCGTGCGGGGCCGCACCTCGGCAAACTGCGTGTCGTTGTACGAAGCGGGCGCCTGCGAGAAAAGGAGGGCAGAGGTGAAGGAGGCCGGGCCCGCGCGAGGGTGGGCCTGGCGCATCCAGACGACAGCCACCCCTGCCGGCCTCTACGGCCTGCGCCTCTACGCCCATCCCCGGGTGAGACGCGTGCGACGTCCCCGAGCGCTTCCCCCCCTCCGCCCCCCCCCCAGCACCGCCACTGGCGTGCGCACCGAGCAGAAGACGAGCGGCGCGCCGACGGACCGACTGCGCTGCGCCGCAGCCGCCGCCGCCTGAGCAGCCGAGCAGCCGACGGCGCTCTCCGAGATTGGCGTGCTGCAGTACGGCCCGCCCCTCAGAAGCGACGTGCAGCGGCACACGCGGCGCTTTTCGTCGCACTCGCCGCGCCCGCACTGCTCGTCCTCGTCACAGTCGCCGCCGCCGGAGTATTCGTCCTTCTCGGACATCAAAATCTTCAGGACTCCCCTGTCGTCCTGTGTGCCAGCGCTGCTGTCACCAAGACGCCTTCCAGGTGAGAACGGCGTTCTCGGGTAACTCAGCTGTGAACTTCCCAGTTGTTTGCTCTCCCTCCCTCCCTTACCCTGTTCATGACTTGCTAGCGGGACCTGAGTATTGTATAAAAATACTGTAGGGCGCTTGCACGGATTTCGCAGCGCCCTCCCCAAATTAAGGACGCCCTTACCAATCACACAACCTAATTGAAAGGGCGGTATAAAGGGAAGAGCCTCCAGACGCCGTCCCTCTTTCACACACCCTTGATGTTAACGCCGTTCACCAAGGAAGCCCCAAACGAGTCGAGTCACATTTTGTTGTATGACGTCCCCCCCCCCACCCCCACCCGCACCCGCACCCCTTGGGATGCACAAGGTTTGCCTCTCGCACCCCGTCTGTTTTGGCTTCCTTTTTTCTCTACAAGACCTCTCTTTTCCTCTCTATTTTCCCGGGGAAACTGCGTGGAAACCGTCAAATTTTGGGCTCTGAGCCGAGTCTGAGGCTGGTTTGGGCCCAAAATCAGCCAAATTTTAGGCCAAATCGGCAAAATGCCGGGAATTTTGCGGAGAACCCGTGTATTAATACCTGGAAATTACCCTGCGACCGCCTGGGTATTTTCTCTAGTTCCTCAATTTTGCCTCAGATTTTGCCCCAGACCAGCTCTCACGCGCATGAACTCACCGCCCATAAACGCAGTCACCCCCTTCTACTGCTGCGCACAAGGCCGGGACTACGACCCTTGCCGAGGCCTTCTTCGGCACGGGTCGCGTGCACACCGCCAGCGGTGCATGCTGCCGCGCCGTGCAACGAACGAGGTGCGCTCGCGTATACGTGCTCCTCTGTCGTCGGCTCCTTCTCTCCCTTTCCCCTCACGTCGCCTCGATCGAGATCGCCGCTGCCACTCGCCACATTGCCAATGACCCACACGCTCATACGCGCACGAATTCCGTTATGCCCAGGAACCTGACGGTCGCGGCCAAGTCAACGCCGCCCATGTGTGGTTCGTGCGACTCAGCATGTCCGACCACGCACGCTGCGCCTAACCTCGTGATCAAGCCCACCTCTAACCCGCAGGTGCGCGCGAGCTTGGCTGGCCAAAGGAGTCTCACTTCTTCGACTGGTGCTTGGAGCACGGGCGCTGCGAGGATTACCCACTCGTCTTCCGCAGCCGGCCGGCGGGGTCAAACATGGAGGCGACACCACGGATGCTCTCACAGCCACGCGCCGCCGAGGCACTCGCTGCTGTGATGCCTCCAAGCATCCGGCCAGCCGCTCGGTTCATCATATTACTGAGGGAGCCTACCTCCCGCCTCTTCTCCTGGTATAACCACCAGGTGCGTGCAGGCTGGGTGCGCTCCCCATTCGCAACCTACGCGGACAACCAGCTGCATGAATGGCGCATGCGGTCAACGCGCACCGCATTTGCCGCCCTAGATCCGATGCCGGACATCGGACGCGGGCTATACGCGCAGTCGGTCCTGCACTGGCGCCGCTTCTGGATGCGAAAGGCGCTGCTGCTGCTCAACTACCACACGGCCTTTAGTGAAATGGCCGCGGTCTCGAGGGCCGCGCTTGAGCAATTCACCGGCGTGCGGCCAGGCCTGTTCAAGCGGGAGAACTCCTTTCGCGCCAAATCGTCGCTTCCTTGCGCAGCTCGCGACCAGCTCCTGCGGTTTTACTCTCCACACAACGAGGACCTCTACCGGATGGTCCGGCAAGATGCGTTCGACGGCTCTTCGCCGGAAGCAGAGCCGCCCTTTGGCACTCTGCCGCCGCCAGCCTGCTCTGAGTTTGTCACCAATTCGACGCCGACGCCAACCCCACCCACGCAGCGGCAGCAGAACCAGCAACAGTGCCGGCCGTTTTGCGACTCTCACTCGGCGGCGTGGCGCACGCTTTGGGGGGGAGGCAAGTGCAGCTGGAGCACGTGTGAGGGCTGCGCGCACTGTCTCCGTGAAACGAAGGTTCGCCCTGGGCTGGGCCCTCGTCGGGTCGCGAACCATGTCGCGAGCGTCGGCACGAGGGTTAGTGTTCAGATGACGAAGAGTTGATCAGTTTTACTATGCTTTGGTCAGGTCTGGAGATAAACGACGATGAACACATAGCACATAGCAGGCCGATCCAAAACCGTACGCACAAAATCGTGATTCGCTTGATTCGGGAGGAGGGGGCCGTCACAGCCGCGCGAGGTCGAGCTCGAGCAAGATGGGGCAGTGGTCGCTCCCGTGCATCTCCTGCAGATGTTGCACGTCGACGACTGCGGCGGGCGGGACGCCGGACGCGAGCAGAAAGTAGTCGATCCGGAGCCCTCGGTTGGCGGGGCGGGCGCGCGCTCGCTGCGACCAGTACGTGTATTGCCCCGCGGCACGCCCGTGCACCTGGCGGAAGGCGTCGCGCATGCCGAGCGGCGGCGCCAGGAAGCAGCGCAGCGATGCGCGCTCCTCGGGCGTCGTACCGGCCTGGGGTGGTGGTGGCGAGGGGGGTGGGGCGAGGGGGGTGGGGCGAGGGGCGTGGCGACGGGGCGTGGCGACGGGGCGTGGTGTGAGGCGCGGCGGGTGGGGGAGCGAAGCGGAAAGCGGGCGGCAAGCGGGGCGGCGAGGCGAGTTGGCAGGATGCGGCGATTGTGGCCGCCTGCGTGAGCGTGCGCCGCTCGGCAGGGTTGTGGAAGTCGACGTCCTACAGAGTCGCATTCGTTTTGATGTCCACAGCCTTCTTTCATTGACGAGGCTGTTGGCAGGTCAGCGTCCTCGTGGGCGACGTTCATGTCGCCGCACACGCACACGCGACTCTCGCCCGTCGCCTGCGCCGCGATAGCAGCGCGGAACCTAGTTGAATGCATGCGATGCAACGGGCACCTCATAGGGGGAATGGGATGGGAGCAAGCCTCCGCCCGGCGGGATGCTTGGCCCAGCGGGGGGGCTTGGACTTCTTTGCTGTGTGTCCGTGCGTCCGTGTGTGTGTGCGTGTGTGTGTGTGTGTGTGTCCGTGCGTCCGTGTGTGTGTGCGTGTGTGTGTGTGTGTGTGTCCGTGCGTCCGTGTGTGTGTGTGTGTGTGTGTGTGTGTGTGTCCGTGCGTCCGTGTGTGTGTGTGTGTGTGTGTGTGTGTCCGTGCGTCCGTGTGTGTGTGTGTGTGTGTGTGTGTGTGTGTGTGTGTGTGTGTGTGTGTCCGTGCGTCCGTGCGTCCGTGTGTGTGTGTGTGTGTGTGTGTGTGTGTGTGTGTGTGTGTGTGTGTGTGTGTGTGTGTGTGTGTGTGTGTGTGTGTGTGTGTGTGTCCGTGCGTCCGTGTGTGTGTGTGTGTGTGTGTGTGTGTGTGTGTGTGTGTGTGTGTGTGTGTGTGTGTGTGTGTGAGCGTGTGCGTGTGCGCGTGTGTGTGCGTGTGTGTGTGTGTGTGTGTGTGTGCGTGTGTGTGTGCGTGTGTGTGTGCGTGTGCGTGTGTGCGTGTGTGTGCGTGTGTGTGCGTGTGTGTGTGTGTGTGTGTGTGTGTGTGTGTGTGTGTGTGTGTGTGTGTGTGTGTGTGTGTGCGGAACCTCGCGTCCCACCCCGCCGCGCGGTCCGTGCGGTACTCGAGCCTCTGCAAGTCTGCGCCCGAGTTGGGCACGTAGACGTTGATCAGCTTGAGGCGCGGCCCTCCGCCGCCGCCGCCGCCGCCCACCGCCGACGCCCCGCTGAGCTCCCACAGCAACGCGCGCCTGTGCGTTGGGGCGAGGCAGCCTCGCCGAACGAGGCGGCGGCAGGCCCGCGGCACCCCGCCACCCCGCGGCGTGGGCGAGTGCGCGACGCGGGGCGTGCGCTGCGCACCCCTCCCTGTCCGCCTCGTGCGCCGGGTCGACTGAGAGCGGGCGGCAGGCGGCGTCCCCAACGCGCCGCCGCCACAGGGTCGACACGCCCGCGTACCCCTTGCGCGCCGTCGAGCATGCCCACGCCGCGCGCCACGCCTCGCCGCCGCCCAGCGCCTCGTAGAGCGCCGCCTCGACCTCCGCCACGTGGCTCTCTTGCAGCTTGGTCTCCTGCAGCATCAGCACGTCGACGCCCTCCTCGTCGACCAGCCGCCGCAGCGTCGACCGCCCCTCCTCGCGGCGCAGCAGCCCTCGCAGGCCAGCCACGTTCCACGAGGCGGCGCGCAGCCGCCGGGCGCCAGGCCCTGCGGCGCCCGCCTTTCGAGGCGTCGCGTCGATGGGCACAGGCGGACGGGCGCTGTTCGGCCGCCTCGGAGCTCGCGGCGGCGGCGGCAGCGGCGGCGGCGGCCCTGGTGAAGGCGAGGACAACGGCGCAGACAGCCGCTCGATCAGATCAGCCTTCCTTCCAGAGACTCGCAGCCCACGCTCCCGGAGACGCTCCTTGAGCGCAGCCACGGTGAGCGAGGCCAGCTCCGCATCGGAGTGGCTCATGGAGATGTGGCTCATGGAGACCGAGGCGGGAGCGGCCAGCCAAAGACGCGGCGGGAGGGGAAGGCGCATGTATGTGTGCTGCATGCGGCCGCCCCCGGGTCTAAAAAGAATTTTACAAATTTTAGCGCCTGCCACCCTTTCCCGCTACCGAAGGGAACCCCAGTGCCAACACCGACCGTTGAGGTACAAGTGCTCGAAACGAGAGTGGACCTGAGCAACGACATGACAGGGCGGGATATGATCGCAGTGGGAGTCAGAAATGTGGTCCTTGCGCGAGGAATGCTCGATAAACTCGAGGGACCAAAATACGCGGAGAGGAGAGCGGAGTTACGCAGAAAGGCGAGAGAAGCAGCGAGAGCAAGAGATCGGCAGACGACAGCGGCGTCTCAGAACGAGGCCGAGGAGAGCGATGAGTCAGGGGAAGAGACAGCAGGAGAGAGAACGACGAGAGTGAGAAGAATGCGAGGTGGCATGAAGGTCACTGCAAGAATTGGTGATAAACTGCGGAGAGAGATAGGAATTGGTAGACGCCCGAGGGTAGGCGACGGCTAACACCACACTTCTCCCCTAAAATCCCTGTGTGGTGGCGGCGTACCGTCCTCCCATCCCTCCCTTGGGTTGTCTGTTTTCTTTCTTTCTTTCTTTTCCCCGTGGTGTGCCGGTGATAGTACTAGCACGCGCCAGTTCACACCTGTGTCGAGCCTGTGTGCTGTGAGAGAGAGTTCTTTTGTTTAAATTCTTTTCCCCTTTCCCGCTCCTAGAAATTCAATTAGCTGCTCAGGCCGGGGGAGGGGGAAAGGCCTCCTGTTCCTCGCGGAACGCGAGCAGGCCCCTCCTTGCCCGGCCTTCGATGCAGGGCGGTGGTCGTGCCATCGTCGCTTCTGAGCCCTGGTGTCGAGGTGTCGAGGCCCGGTGTCGAGGGTGTCGAGCTGCTGTCGAGGGATAGAGGTGTCGAGGCCTGTCGAGGCCTGTCGAGGCCTGTCGAGGCCTGTCGAGGCTGGGACCAAGCTTGTCCGTGTCGAGGGGTGTCGAGGGGTGTCGAGGGTGTCGAGGGTGTCGAGGGTGTCGAGGGTGTCGAGGGTGTCGAGCAGGTGTCGAGTGTTGTCAAGGGGTTTTGCGTCTAAGGTGTCGAGGTGTCCAAGGTGGCAGGATGCAGTTGCAGCCCATCAACAAAACTTGGGCAGCAGTTGCAAAGCTGTTTCATCCCTTAGTTGCAGCCTCAGTTGCACCCTGTTGATGTAGCACAACCTGAGCACAACCAGTATACTCTCTGTGGACATTTGAGGACATCAAGTGCCGGGAGTCATTGCCACTGTGCACAAAGGTGCTGTGCAGGCGCAGCACCGCAGCAGCGTCGCCGCTGCAGCAGCGTCGCCCCTGCAGCGTCACCGGCGCACAAAGCGCAACTGACCACAGCGCTCATGGCACAAGGCTGGTGCCATGAGTCAGTGGACATTGCCACTGCACAAGGTGCTGTCCAGCAGCTAAGGGCTGCCAGTACCCCATCGCAGCAGCGTCGCCGCCGCTGCAGCGTCGCCGTTGCAGCGTCGCCAGTGCACAAAGCGCAATGGACCACAGGTCTGCACTCATGGCACAAGCTCACTGGTGTGAGGATTCATTGCCACTGTACAAGGTGCTGTGCAGCACCTGAGGGCTACCTGAGTACTGCCATGTTTGCTGCATCAACAGGGGTGCAACTGAGCTGCAACTTGAGCTAGAACTTGAGAGGCTGCAACTCAGGGATGAAAGTACTGCCAGCCAAGTTTGATTGCTGCTGCAACCCTGATTTCTAACTCTGACTCCAATGGGTCTACATCTCTGCTGTGTTAGGATCATCAGAGGTGTCGAGCGGTGTCGAGCGGTGTCGAGCGGTGTCGAGCGGTGTCGAGCGGTGTCGAGGGGTGTCGAGGGGTGTCGAGGTGTCGAGTTTGGCACCTTGACACGGACGAGCTTGGTCCCAGCCTAGATGGTGTCGAGGGGTGTCGAGGGGTGTCGAGTTGGTCGAGTTGGCATGGGGTGTCGAGGTGTCGAGTCAGTGTCGAGGTTTGGTGTCGAGGTGTCGAGGCCAGGGCTCAGCGTCGCTTCTGCGGCTGGTCTATGAGAGGTTTTGAGGTGCGAGCCCTGGAGGCCCTGGGGATGGGGGGAGACTACCCGCGGGCCTAGAAGGCCCGCGCGCAGGGGGGTGGGACATTGAGATTGAACATTCTGTTCAGCGTGTGGACCACTTGAGTCCGATGTCCAGCGTCGGCGCGTAGCTCGGGTCGTACAAGTACTCACCGGTCTCAGCGGCATTGCCATGGTAGGCCAGGCCCACCTTATACCGCAGCGCAGCGCGAGCCTGCATGTGCTCGAGCAACCCCACCTTGGAAGGCAACTCGCCGCGAGGCCAGCCCTCCTCCAGGAGGACCTGCTTGCGGCGCGCTGCAGACGAGGGGTTGAGGAGGTCGTAGTCGCCAAGGTCTTCTGCCTCCCAGGGCGGAAGGCCCGGGCGCGCGGGCCCGCCCAAGACGGCTGGGCGAGGGAGCGCGCGGCGGAGCAGCGAGCTGAGGAGGTTGTACTCTCTGCTCGCACCAGGGTCAACTCACGAGTGCCGATAGACCGCTGCCAGGCTCCAAAAACGTCTAGCGCCTGGTGGTCGTCATGCGAGTACCGATAGTGGGGCGGGAAGTGCGCGTCGAACCGCGCAGCAGCCTGTGGAACTCGATTTTTTGATTCCTTCTTTGCTGCTCTCCTGGATCTTTTGGAGGTCGGTGCGGCGGAGGTGGAGGTGGCGGAGGCTCGGCGAGCACGGCTGGGAGCGGCAGAGGGTTCAGGATCCGGGCAAGCGCGGATCTGAGAAGAGGGGTGGCTTTGGTTGGTCACGATCGGGACGGATGACACGTCTGATGCAGACATGCGGTCACCCTCGATTCCTGTTTGTTGAATGTTGAAGCCCTCTTCGATGCAGTCGCAGGAGTGATAACCCATCGAGGTGGGAGCCGCCTGCGGCAATATCTAATTCCTCCACCAGTGGCGCAAGCCCGCTCGTCCCGACGCTTGAGCGACTCGTCCACTTTCCCAGCCACACTCTGCACAGCATCCTCCTCCCCCTCCTCACTGTAGTTGTCCCACCCGTCGTCGGAGTCGTCGCCACGGCGCTCGAAGCGGCAGCAGAGCTCCTCTTCCTCTGCTTCCTCTGCTAGCAGCTGCGCCAGCACTGCCTCCCACTCAGGGTCGGCAGCAGAGCCAGCATCGCTTTGAGCAGAGCAGCGCATTGCCACGTCCTCATCGCAGAGCTCCACCGCGGCGAGAGACGTGGTGACAGTGGCGACCGACGTGCCAGTGGCGCGGCTGGCATCGCCAGCAGCGAGGCCGCCAGCATCGCCGCCGCGCACCGCGGCGTGGGGCGCAGCAGCGTGCCGTTCGGCCATCGTGTTACGACATCCGACTGCATCCACAGACCTTGTTCAGTCTTCTCAACCTTGTTCAGTTAGTCAGTGTTACACACCTCCAGCATGAAGGACGGGCCCACACGCACACACACGCTGCACACAGACCTTGTTATTGACAAGAAAACACGTTCACAGATAGGTCGATATTAAGAACTTCACAGTTTTCACGGCTCGCTGGATGGAGGCGGCTCTTTTCTCTTCTTTAGAAAGCGTCGTCCGCGCCTTGTCATCTCCTGTCTTGCGTCCACCCATACCGGGTTGGTGTCCCAGTCCGAGCTCCGAGCTGTTCTTCACCTTCGATACATACATGCCTTGTCTCTGTTGCGTGAGTCGTGCGTGCGCGGGCGCACATAAAGTTCAGATAAAGACGGGTAATCTGAAAAACGCCGGTTGATCTCCGACGCGAATCTCAACGTCGAATATTACATTCTTTTCGGAGTCCCGTGCCTGTGGTCTCTGTAGGGAGTAGGTATGTCTCTGTGGTGTTGTGAGAGAGAGCTTAGTAGTAAAATGCCTTTTAAATCTTTGGTTTCTTACATCTTTGGTTGCGGTCTAAAATTCTTTTGTCAGCGCCACCTCCACGCGCCCCCGGTTCCTCGCTCCTGCAGGATGGCTGACCCGAGGCGCACCGTGTCCGGCAAGAGCGCGGGAGACCTACGCACCGACCCACGCACCTACGAGCAGCGATGGCTCGACGATTGCAACGCTGCGGGCGGGCGCAAGCGCGGCCGGCCGGGCGAGGTGGCCGACGATGTGGCGCGGCCGACAACCCGGAGGTCGCGCGAGGGCCTCGTCCGCGAGTACGCGATGCTACTGCTCCTCGAGCGCCGGAATGTCCGGTTCAAGGACTTTCTCCAGCAGTGCGCCCTCGAGAACAAAATTGCCGATGTCGAGTTCCCGGCGGAGGAGGCCGCGGAGTCCCGGCAGGGCAAGCTGTCGCTCGTGCGGCAGTACAACGTGCTACTCGACCGGCTGGGCGGCGCAGCGAGCTCGTCCCAGGGCTCAGCCGCGCCGCCTGCCGATGAGCCGGCGGCAGCTCCCGCGCCGGCGGCGGCAGCTCCCGCGCCTGTGGTGGTAGCTCCTGCGCCGAGTGCGGCAGCGGCAGCGGGAGGCGAGCCGAGGCCGCACTGCCAGGCGTGCAACGGCCGCCACGTGAGGCACACCTGCGGCCGCTCGGGATCCGGGGGTAGTAAGAAGCAGAGTGCCGAGAAGCGGTGACACGGCCCCGCGCCGCTGCGAGGGGCGAGACCGAGAGTGCACTATCCACAAAACAGAGGACAGACCTTGAGCTCGCTTGTACTGAATTTAACCTCTTTTTTTGGATTAACCCTAGTAGGTGGATAGTGTCGCTGTTTTCGAAAGGCGCTGACGGCCCGGCGCGTACCGCGCGACGCCCGGGCTACCCACCAGTGAAAGGCCTATACCAACCCTTCAAAATGACCTACTAACTTTGGTACACTCTCACTTTGATATTTCCCGCGGTGCACACTCAAAGTCCGGAAATCTCACAGACGCGCGCGTTTTGGCCGGCTACCCCATCGGGTCGCACGGAGACACGGGAAGGCTGCCGCAAGCCGCCTCCGGGTGCAGGGGCCCGACGCGGTAGGCGGGGGCAACAGCCCGGTAGCTGGCCGCGCCTCTCCGCCCCGCCCGTCGCCGCTGCACCCCTTGCCGCGGCCCTCGTCGCTGCTGCAGCGACGACAGCCGCGGCACGAGGTCAGAACGCGGCCTCGGAGAGCTCGAGCGAAGGCGCCGACGGTGGCGGCCGTGGTAGTGGTTGATGGTAGAAGGCTCCTGAGCCGTCGGGCACCACGCTCGACGTCGCCGAGGAGCCGCACCCGGCGCGAGCGCCTGCGCGTCGGCGGGTGCCACCGAAGGCGGGTGGGCAGCACCGGGCGGGGCGGCGGAGCTTCTCGAGGCGCGCACGTGCCCCGCGGGTCGTGCGCCGAGGCAGACGGCCGAAGAACCGGTGGAGTATCGCGCCCTCCTTCGCCGTGCCGCGTGTGCGCTGCGCCCGCTCGAGAGGCCGTCGAGAGCAGCGCGGCGCAGCCGATCCGGGCGATGAGCGTGCGCGGAACCGACCGGACCCGTCAATGTCCACTATGCGGGCATGGCCAGGCCGGCGCGGTTTGGTCTGGCGACCTACAGGGCGCGCACCGCGGTTGTGTCAACGCGAGATTCCGCGAGACCGCCTGTCTGACAGGTTATCCACCCACTAGGGTTAACGGCGAAAAAATGCGGAGCATTGCTTGATCCTTTCCGCGCGCCGCCGTGCTATGATGTATGAAAAGGAATTATGTATGTAAAAGAGGGAAGCAGTCGAGAGGACAGGGGAGGGACGTGTCCGAGGGGGACGGGGGAGGGACGACTTTGGTGTTGGAGGGGGAACGACTATGGTGTTGGACGGCATCAATGGAGGATGGGCGGCCTCGAATCACGGTCACGTTGGTTAGCGAGGACAGCGACGGCGTCGTTGGCTGAGCGCAGGGGCGAGGGCGTCGACCGACGGGCGGCGCATCAGGAGCCCCTCGCTGGCGAGCGGCTGGCGCGGGAGGTCACGGAACGACGGGTCGAACGACGGGTCGAGCCCCCCCTCCACCGGTCGAGGCCGCGGTCGAGACGGTGAGCGCGGCCGAGGCCCTCGCGAACGTCGCGGAGTACGGCCCGAACTACGTCCTGCCGCAGGCCGCGGAGTCTAAGACGGCGCGGCGGAAACGGCTGCGCGTGGACGCGGCGGCGAGGATCGCCGGGCACGCTGTAGTCGAGACTGGCACGCACGTGGAGATCCTGGGCGAGCAGAGGTGGTGGCCGGGCACCATCACGGGGCGGGAGGAGGGTTCGGACGGCCGGCTCGTGCACGCGGTCGAGTACGACGGCTACCCCGACCAGGATTTCCGAATCAACTTAGAGGAAGAGACGTGGAGGCGGGTGACGCTCGGCGCCGGCGGCGCGGCCCCCACCAGCGGCGAGGACAGCGACGGCGAGGGCAGCGACGAGGCTGCGGACGCGCTGCCGGCCAGCGCGACCGACAGCGGCAGCGCGGTCGCCACCAGCGACAAGGGGAGCGACGTCGAGGGGGACGGCGACGAGGCTGGGGACGCGCTGCTGACCTGCGAGCCCGCTCCGACACAGCCAAGGGAGCGGCGCAGCACGAGGGCTGGCGACGAGAGCCCGGCGGCAGCCGGGATGGCCAGCGGCGACGCCGGCGCCACGTACGCGGCACTCGGCGGGTATGTTGGCCGGGAGGAGGCGGTCGGCGAGGCGAGCTCCGCCCCTGCGGCCCTCAACTGGCCGGTCAAAACCAGGGTGATGTGACGACGATAACATACGCGAACATCTCGCTCGGTGATCGCTCGCCAGGTAGGATTAATCGCTGGAATCAGGTGTATTTTATTTTTGCTTGGGTGGGCCTCATGATGAAATTCTCGTAAACTCGTGACGCTTGTGGGGCTAGTATGTTGTTTTCTGGGGGCGTTCGGGGCGGCGGAGTATTTTTATGTGCGCGCGGGCGGCGGCGGCCAGGGGCGGCCCCTGGGGACCAAATGGCCGATTTTTTACGATCGAACACACCCGGTGGTGGCGTGGGGAGTGCGGAACGCTACTGGCGGCGCGTGACAGGGCCTCTCTCGGTTGCGTGTGCCGCCCATCGGCGGCACGCGGGTGCGCAGACATTGGTTTGCGACTCTGCCCGCTCGCTCGTTGTGTACACTCCACACTCTCTCTCACCAGAGGAAAGCAAACGAGTCACTAACTCGTAACTGCAGGGGAGTCTTGTAGCTCGATCGGTCACACCGCCATCGCCGTCGGGGAGAGGGGGGACGACACTGCTCTGGAAGCGTGCACCTCGATCCTGTACCGTGTTTGTTATGACCCCCCCCAATGAACACATCAGTGAGGGAGGGCGAGACGATCGCCGCCCCGGGCGTCGCGCCGTGGCGGTGCCAGCAGGTGGGCTCCGGCGCCGCCCCGCGCGCGCGCAAGCGCGGCGGCGACGCCTCCGCACCACCCGTGCCACCGCCCGGCCGAGCGAGGAGCAGGAAGACGAGCAGAGACATGCTGTCTCAAGGGTTTGTTGACGGCTTCCGCACTTGGAGCACTTGGAGTGCAGTCATTAACCCAGCGAGCCGGATGATCGGTGTTAAAAAAGGACCTTAAAACAGGAAGCAGACTGAGCCGGCGGAAGAGAGGCCGTCCGGAATTTTACAACCAAACGGCAAGACGGAAGCTAGCCGTTTAGGGGCTAACAGGGTTATACCGTTCGTCTGCTGTCGACCCGCAGTGGCCCGCACGTACTCACAATAACACCTCTGCTCTCTGGAGGTCTCTCAGGTTGCGCCAGTGGTCCTTGGGCTACAATTGCCCACCATCACGGCAGCTTGAGGCGCCGCACCTGGCCGGGTGGCAGATGGGACAGCAGCTCGTCCGTCTTGGCAAAGAGGGCCAGCGCGCCTACGCGGTGAATCCACCAACACCAGGGCGGGAATGCGGTGTGCAGTGTATTTCGAGCACCGCGTGAATACACGGGATATACGGAGAGAGAGAGAGAGAGAGAGAGAGAGAGAGAGAGAGAGAGAGAGAGAGAGAGAGAGAGAGAGAGAGAGAGAGAGAGAGAGAGAGAGTACGAATGCAGTGCGAGGCAGCGGTGCGAAGTGGCGGTGCGAGGTGGCGGTGCGAGGCAGTGGTGCGAGGGGGCGGTGCGAGGCAGCGGTGCGAGGCAGCGGTGCGAGGCGGCGGTGCGAGGCGGCGGTGCGAGGCAGCGGTGCGAAGTGGCGGTGCGAGGTGGCGGTGCGAGGCAGTGGTGCGAGGGGGCGGTGCGAGGCAGCGGTGCGAGGCAGCGGTGCGACCTTCCACTTTTGGGGCGCCGGCGCGCCTCCCGTGTGCCAAAAGAGGATGTGCTTGCCGCGGAAGCGCTCGGGCTGCGCGCGCGCGGCCTGCGCAAAGTAGTAGAGCGCCTTGCCCGAGTAGGTGTGATCGAGCAGCACGCCCGACTGCCGCGCCGTCTCTGCACAAAAGGCCATCAGCTCGGGCGTCGCCACACCGTATCCCGCCCCCGCGCCCGGGTAGATCGCCAGCATCTCGCGCGCGCATGCCTCGAAGCTGCCGCCGCTCAGCTCGGACACCTCCGCGTCGATGAGCTCGTAAAAGTGCTCTCCAGTGGTGGACCGCGACACCTGGTAGAGGAGGCCGGAGAGGAAGTGTCTAGGAAGTGTCTAGGAAGTGTCTATGCTCTGGCGAGTGGTGGACCGCGACACCTGGTAGAGGAGGCCGGAGAGGAAGCGTCTACGAAGTGTCTAGGAAGTGTCTATGCTCTGGCGAGTGGTGAGCCGCGACATCAGGACCAAAACTCACGAGACCTCGATACTAACAAAAACTACGATACATGAGGTATGGAGGACCCGTCGCCAAACGACGCAGGGCAGAAGACGGTGAGGCGGAGCAGACGCGCAGGGCGAGACGAGGGAGGGAGCAGGACTTTGCGGAGATCAGCAGGAGGATGTACGAAGAGATTAGGAGCAGCAGGGACCCGAGGGACCATGTGGAAGACGGCTAGTGCTAGTCCCCCATCGGGAGGACGACCCCGGCTAGTCGCCGACCACACCCACAAAGAACCCTGCACAGAGATCGCAAGGGCGGGGACCCTTCTTACCCACCTCGTCACAGTAGAGAGGTGTGTCCGTTTTTATTTATTTATTTATTATTTTGGGACACCTTTTGCTCATTCGTCATTGCTGCATGCCCTATGCACAGGTCTGCGGACAGAAAGTCAAAGACAGCGGTGAGGCCGGTGACCGGCGTCAAGTCGCCCCCCCCCCCCCCCCTCTCCCCCTCCCCCGCGCTATGAAACGCCCGCCAAGATCTCAACGTCGGTCTGCAGCCCTACTGTTATATGATAGTAATAGAGCAGTTTGGTCGGAGGGCGCCCGGGTCGCCCCGGAGCGGCCCCGCGCGGGGAGGTGGGTGGAGGGCGGGCGCCACGCCGTCGGGCACGCCCACAGCATACGCCTAGAGCACCACGGCACACAGCCATGTCCGTCCGCGAGGACTTTTCCTTCGAGGCGCCTCTAGGGTCAAGGGCGGCTGAGCTCACACAGGATTAACTCGCCGGTACGCGACGGCGAGCATTTTGCTGGGTGTGTGCATTGGTGGAGGTTAGGTGAAGGTGGTCGTACGTGCGTCTCTTCATTTGTCTGCGGCTCGCCGCGTACGACTGTGTCGCGACCAAATGTGGCGGCCCGTCCGACTCCTCGTGCTTGAGCTTCACCACCTCCTCGAGCTCGTGGATGGCCTTGCGGTCGCCCAGCCGCGGGGTGGGCGGCCCTGGTGCGCGAGCCTGCAGCGGGCTGTTTGTGTGCATGTATTGGGGTGGGGCGTCAGACAGAGCGAGCCCGCGTCGCCGGCCATTCGTCCGTCCTCCATGTTCATGGTATTGCTAAAAATCCCCCCCGGCCGCAATTCGACTCCGAGGGTGGAGCCCCTCGAGACTCGCAGGGGAGAGGGAGCGCGTTCGACTTCACAGGAGAAGCCGTGACCCGACACCCGTGTCTCAAAAAAGCGTCTTCGGGGTGGGGGCATCTCAAGTCATGTGTGGAACCCTGCACAAAGATCGCACGGCGGGCGGGACCTGTTCCTTTTTACCCATCTCGAGTAATTGAAATCTCTAGTCTTTTTTAGAGATTGAGAGCTTAAAGATTTGAAAGACTCCACTCGGGTCTACAGTGCTACCCAGAGATTTGAGACCAGAGATTTGAGATTTGAGACCTCAGTCACTCGGCCTCCGGTGGGAGACTTTGATATTAGAGACCAGAGACTTGGAGAATGAGATTTCCCACACCAAAAGGAATCTGCGGTCGAGTTCGCTCGAGATTCAAGATTTGAGACTGAAGATTTGGACGGCCTCCAACCTAGTCCTAGAGATTTGAGAGCTGAGATTTGGAGATTTGTGGCGTGAATACTGAGACAAGAGCCTCGAAGCTTCTAGAAGGGTTGGGTGGGTTTGACCTGCAGTGAGATTGAGGTCTGAGGTCTGAAATTTGAGATTGAGATTTGAGATTGAGATTTGGGGCCCGGGGAGCCTGCGGCGCCAATTAATCTGCGCTCCTCTTTATGGCCTGCGGCGCCTGGCTTGAGCTTGGAAGTGTAAACGAGTCCGCCAGGGCGGTCTGCAAACACGGAGCGCGCTGCGCGCGCGGTCTACGCCGAATTAGATGAGAGGGACAGCGCTATCCGCAAAGGCTCGACCAGCTGTGGCGGCTCGTCGGCAAAGGTCGTCCACTCCTTGGCGTACGGCTGAAAGCCGGTGTGCGAGTGGAGCATCTGCGTGTCGAGGCGCCACAGCATCTCGCCCTCGAAGATGATGTCTCGCGACAGCTGGACGTACTTGCGAGTCCGATCCATCGCGCCGTCATACGGCACCTGCTTGCCCTGAGCCAGCCGAGTTGACTCCTCGGCATATGAGAGGTTGTGCTTGGCGCGGCAATCTGGGCAGCGCTTGCAGTAGAGGAGCCCGTCAAAGCGCCCGTGCGTGCAGTATACGGTTGGACGGACGGGCTCGTCGCTGACCACAAGGCGCACCTTCTGCCCTTGCAAAGCGCAGACGGCGCAGAACTCAAGGGACCAGGTGGAGCGGCGTGGACTTCTCCTGCTCATGGAAGCGCATGGGGTCGAGACGATCCACGAGAGCGCTGATGCCCGCCTCGCTCTCGATGCTGCTGACGAGGACGTTGATGGTCGTGGACGCGTGCGTTGTTTGCATGTCGGCAGCGATGAGCTCTGCGCGGTCGGGTGTGTCGACTGGGTAGCGGGCCATGCCGAGGAGAAGCGCGACGATCTCGTCCTCACTCTCGAGCGGCCATAGGTTCGTGGATAACCGCCTCAGGCCGGCGGCGAGATGGGCGGCGGCGGCGGCGCAAAGCATTGCAAGCGAGCGTGCTGCTGTCAGTCTCAATCTCAAATCTCGAGTCACGCTGCCCTAGATTTCGGTTGTCCCGCAAGTGATGTTTTTCGAACGAAGCGAGATAAAGGCGTTGGAAGGTTGAGGAAGTTCACAGCATCCTGCATCGAAAACGGAATCTCTCTTGCTTGCAGTCTCTCCCACCCCTCATCGAAATCTCAAACTCCCGAAGCGAAAACCCGAACAGGAATCTTCGCCATTTGAGATCTCACGCGTTTCCTCTAGAAACTCACACCGAGCGACGGGAAGACTGAGATTTCGTGGCTGAAGTCTCGACGAAGATTTGGGAGATCTCAAGGGCGGGACTAGAGACTTCGATGACTGCCCGTCTCACAGTAGGATGTGTCCGTTTTTACCTTCTCCGGGGAAAGTTATTTAGAGACACCGCCCTACCGCCGCCCAGTACGTGCTCCGCAGCTGAGCCCACGCACCCCACAGCAGCTCAGGGACACAATAAGCTCGCATACAAGTGCTGGTACGCACAGCTCGACGCGTACTCGAATGCTGCCACTGTCATTCTAGCCGGCGAGCGGCGGCGTCACAGCGTCGACTCTCGCATCGCGATGAGACGCACTGCTTGCCCAGACGCGCGCCTTGGCGCGCTCCTGTGGTGCAGGAGGAAGGCCAGCGGTCGTGCTGCGCAGGCCCGGCCGTCTGGTTGAAGGGATCAGCAGCTGGCGCTCAACAGCAGCGCTGTCGAGCAGCGCAGCCACACCACACTCCCGCCAAGCCACGTGTCATTTCGCGCCAAGATTTGGCGCCAAAATGGTACTTTAGTGTCCACCTAGCCACGTGGTCGCGGCCTGAAGCTCCAAGCTTCTGGGACTGAGGTCCCACATCGCTGGACTCCATTTGTGTGCAGGCGGCACCCTTCCGATCGTTCGCCGATGTCCGAAACCGGCATGTTGCTAAATAACTTTCCCCGGAGAAGGTATCTATTTATTTATCTCATATCAGAGCCGAGCCGCCCCCCTCGGCCTCGCACAATGAGACGTTTTCCTCTGTTCCCTTCAACAGCACTCTCGCGGCGACTCCTCCTTTCGCCCCCCTCCAGCAAGCCGCAAGTGCGGGTACCGCCGCGGCCTCAGCAAGTTCTCCGAGCGCGCACCCACACCGAGCGCGTCGTCCTCGCCACAGCCGAAGGCCAACGCGTCGCCGCTGGCGGTGGACGCCACCGAATAGGCGGCGAGGCCATACTGGCCCGCGCCAACGGTGCGGCCGCCGCCCAAGCTCGCGATCGGCTGCGGCTCGAGTCGCTCCTGCGCCAGGGCGGGGGGACAGCGCCTTCTGCCGCGAGCCTCAAAGCGTCCGCGACACTGGTTCGCCCCCAGCGAGCTGCCCTCAGTGAGCTGCCCTCAGTGAGCTCGCCGCGAGTGCAGTCTGCCGCTCTGCCGTGCTCCGGGGGGCTGGTGGCGGAGGGAGGGGGTACCCGTGGCGGGGCGGGGAAGGGGGGGGGGGGCGGGCAGGCGTGGCGTTGCGGGCCTCCTCGTCGCCGTGTCCGAGCCTCCCATGGCTTCCGTAGCCAAACGAGTAGACGGCCCCGCCCGCCGCCAGCACCAAGCTGTGCTCGCACCCCGCAGAGACCGCAACCGCCCGCACCGCCGCCAGCGCGCCGCAGATCCTCTCGGGCACGAGCCTGCTCCGCTTGTCTCCGTGGCCGAGCTGCCTGTTGTTCACTCACTCACGTTGAGTCGCTCACGTACCGAGACGAACCTCATCGCCAATGCTCCAGGTGCCTATTCATCACCGCCACTAATGAGCCACCAATCAACACGCCACCCTGTCGCCCGCGCCCCCGCTGCCCGCACACGCCCCACCCGAAGCTGAACACGCTGCCGCCCGAGGAGAGGGCCAGGCTGTGCCTTGCGCCGGCAGCGACCGCCTGCATCAGACGCCTGCCGTGAGTCGTTCCAACGACAAACGGTGGCCTCCCTTAATTAGCGCCGAGATGTGCTCCGAGCGCAACCCGCCGATGCGTCTTGGCGACGGCTGCCGCGCGGTGTCGCCGTGGCCGAGCCTGCCGCTGTTGCCGTGCCCGAAGGAGTAGGCGGCGCCGTCCGACGTTGCGACGAGGCTGTGGACGACGCAGGCGGAGATGGCGGTGCCTAAGCCTCGGCTTACCAACACCGCTGTGGCTCGCAACCAAGAAAGGGGCGGCGGAGGCAGAGAGGGCGCTGCCGCGCGACCAACGCAAGTCCCCGATCCTCTTTGGCCGCAGCTGGCTCGAGAGGTCGCCGTGGCCCAGCTGGCCGAGAGCGCCTATGTGGGGAGCACGTGGTGACACAGGACGCCGAGGGCGTGGCAGCGGATACGGTGGACGGCAGCCGTGTGCGTGCCGTCCAGAGTGCTTGCCACAAGAGCGGAGTTGAGAGGAGAGGTGGGTAGTGCGGGGGAGAGCTATTGAGCATCTGGAGGGGAGAGAGCCGTCGCCGAAGCTCCAGACGTGCCCCTCCGCCGTGAGGGCGAGGCTGTGTGCGCCGCCCGCCGAGACGGCGACTGCACGGCTCTCGGAGCAGACTGCGACGATGGTCGGCGAGGCGCGGTCCCCCTCCTCCCCTACGGAGAGGTGTCGTGGACGTGTGTCGTGGACGCGTCCTCGACATGGCGTGGCGAGGGTCTTCATTTGCCGAGTCCGAGCCGGCCCCGAGCCCCGATGCCTATGAATTAATACGAACGACTGATCTCACGAATCAACTAAGAGGCGGAGGGGCGCCGGCGCTCCCCATGCGAAGACATCGCCCCGCTCGCTCACTGCGAGCGTGTGCGCCACGCCCGACGACACGGACCGGAACCGCACGCGCTGCCCAGTGACGGGCAGGCGAGTCGGCTGCGCGAGCCGCCGGACTCCTTCGCCGTGACCCAGCAGGCCGGGCCGGTCGACGCCGGCATCGAAGTCCTCGGTCCCGCAGGAGAGGAGGCGTCCCGAGTCATCCACGAACGTGACGTGCGAGAAGCCGACAGCGACGGCTGTGCCGGCACCCGGTCCCGCCTCTCCTCCCAGAGGGCCGCCTGCGTCCACGACGGCTCGCAAGTCGTGTCGAGAGCCGGCAGACCATACCGCCTCGCCCGCAGCGCCCGCACAACGGCCTCTTGAAAGTGCAGAGAGGTGCGCTCGGCGCACGAGAGGTCCTCGGGTGCCGGGAGGAGGGAGCAAATGCGAGCGAGGGCATCGGTCGGGAGGCTGGCGAGGGCGAGAGGCCGCTGCTCGTCGTCAAGTTGCTGGCTGACCGTGCATTCGCGGCTGCTATCCATCGCAGCCCGTCCGCAGTGCGATTCCGGAAATTTCCCTGGTTGCCTGCTCAAGGTTGTCGCAATGGCGAGCGATGACGAGGGATTCACGCTCAGCGTGACGAGCAAGCTCAGGGAGTTTACGGCGCTCGGATACCCCGCACACGTGCTTAATGGGGCTATCGGGCGCGCGTTTGCCCGGACAAGAGACGAGCGGCTCTTTCGGGCCAGACTATGTTCACAACGGTGGGAGGCCAACCTCTAACCATGTGAACCAAAAAGAAAAAATATATTCTCAAAGCCAGTCAGAGCACCGTCCAAAGGCGGGTGCTGTCGACTAAGGGACAATCTTGTCTGTCGGCAGCCGAACTTGTGATGGGACACCCTCGGAATCCAACTGCGTACTACTTGGCTAGCACGCTATTGGCATACCGACGGCTAAGGCCGAAATCGGTTCACACCTGTTTTTGCAGGTGTGAACACAAAGGATTCGCTGTATCTACTCAGCTGCTCCGCTTACACTTACCTGTGAAGTGTGAACAGCGGATTTTGAATCAGCGTTCTCCTTGAACGATATCGGTGTCGAAACACCGCTCTGACAGCGCTCACAGTTGTGGAGAAATTCTGAGATTTCCTTTTTGATGGATCGAGCCTTGGTTGGCGAGACTGCGTCAGCTGTTCCCACAGGCCACAGCAGGCTGGGGAAGTACCTCGCCAGGCCCAGGCAGGGCCGCTCACACAGGCAGGGAGCGTGCGGCTAGCTTATTGGCCTTTATACGTTATTCTTCCGATTCTATATTCTTTTTCGAGGCGATTTTCAGCGATTTTACAAAGCAATAACAAATCGCGATTTTCAGCGGGACGAATATAAAGAATATTTGAGAATATAGGCCCTATTTGGAGCTGTATTCTTGACATGTTCGAGAATATAGACAAGAATACGGAAAGAATACGGAAAAAGAATATAGATAGGACTGGGCGAGAAAAACGTATAAATAAAGCCCTGGAGGCAGTCGCAGCCCTCAGACTCCTTGCGGACGACATCGAGCACGGCGTCAATCAGCTCGGTGCCCTCGGTGTAGTGACCCTTGGCCCAGTTGTTGCCGGCGCCCGACTGGCCAGAGACGAAGTTGGGCCCTGCCAAAAGACTCCCAATCGTCCTTCCAACGGCCTGCTCGTGCAGGTGGGGACCCTGTCCTCCTCCCCATGCCCTTTTATGACCGCGCAAGATAAAAGGGTGGCTAAGGGCTCTGCACGCAAGGCGCCCGCGTCGCAGACGCGGTACCATTGACAAATCTGCAATAGCACACGAGCAAATAGCAAAATCCGAATACCGTGCAGGAATCCGACGATGTGGGACGCAAGCCTTCAGCTGGTGCCAGACATCGCTTCGTTTTACGGAAACCAGAACGTCCGCCAAATCCGTGCTCTTTCGGCGCAACTTGAGGGGAAGCCGCTGATCGAGCCCAGCGTGCCCGCGGCCGCCTCCCGCGCAGCAGCGCCTCTGGGGACGACACGCTGCGGAATCGGATCGAGCCCATGGAGGAGGAGGACGCAGTCGGCGAATTGGAGGGAGGAGGAGAGGAGGAGGGCGCAGTCGACGAATGGGAGGAGGAGGGCGCAGTTGACATTGTCGTGTCTGACTCAGAGGAGGAGTTGGGGGTGCTCCGGCAACCTAACCTGATCCAGAAGCTCGCCGACGTTGTCACTCAACGTGCGTCATGCGTGCTCGAGCTTGAGGGAGGAGCTCAGCTAACGCTTCGGCCAGCCCCCCAGCGCCGCCGCCCACCGCCACCCACAAAGCACCTGCTCTACTATCCCGTACCTGGCTGGCTGACGCTCACCCCCCCCCGCTCCACTTTCCCCTGATCATGCCCGTGATAGCACCATCACTGTCGCCGTCCTGGTTTTGAACGTGGCAGCTAGACTCTAGGGACTCGGTAGTCGTGACCGCCCCCTGAGTGTGAGGAGCAGGAGAGAGAGAGCTTTGTGGTGTTGGTGTACGCAATAACGGGACAGGGTGGTTGTTCTCTCCATCTCCCCTTCTAGCTCTTAGCATGAGCTGCGCCCTGTGTCCGACCCCTTTTGCGCAGCAACACCTTAAACTTTCAGGCCCTCCAAATTCGGGTCGGAGCGTAGCGGAGTGGGCCCCGAGTTTGAAAAGGGCGACGGACGCTTGCGTCCTAGCCGCCAACAAAGCCTCCCCGGCGCAGAGGGGCCCCCGGAGGGATGCACAACCGCTCCACGCCACGCCGCTTGCGGCGGTCCTCTTCCCATAAATAAATAAATACAACGGACACGCCAAACGAGGGGTGGGAGAAGGACAGGGTCCCCACCTGCACGAGCAGGATCTTGTAGGACGATCAGGGACACAGGGGAACGGGAGCGGGGAGCGCATCGCGACACGGAGGGGGGCTGGGCAGGGGGTTCACCCGGTCCTCTTCCCAGCTCCGCTGAGGCCCTACGGCATTCTTTCTTTCTTTCTTCCCAAACGCAGGTGCTCGTGTGCGACCATGATGCGACTTCGGCAGTGTGCATGACGTGCTGGAAACTCTCGTGCTGGACGTGCGGCGAGAATGAAGGCGTGCACGGAGCACGCTCAGTCAGCACCGCGCCGCCGCAGGCGACGACAGCACCGCAAGCTCGATGGGACTTCATATTCGCCACCTGCGCGCTGTCTTTTACCTCTTCGTCCTTACAAGGCTTGGCACAGCGATCAAGCCGTTGCCCTTGCCAGCTGCCGCAGGTGAATTCAATCAGGGGACACACATATCCGGACGGGACTGCACCGTATGCCGTGTCCCAAGCGATCACTCGTATTCTCGCACCCTACCCCTCGACCCCATGGGTGCCCCATACTTGTAGGGGCGGCTCGCCAACAATGAGTGAGAGGAGGCGAGGCAAGTGAGCTGTGAGGGACGGGTGACTGACCGCTGTGCGGGGGTGGGGGGGGGGCGGCTCGTGCGGATCGGACTGGGACGGACCCGTTCGGACACGGAGGCTCGCCGGGCCGCGGACCTGCGCCCCGAGCGAGGGATGTGTGACGGGATCGGTAGACAGAGTATTCTGCGGGCCCTGCGCCTGTCTTTCGAGGTCTCGAGATTAACTCATTAACGGGGCCCAAACCGCCCGCCGCTCTCCCCCCCCGCGCGTGACTAAATTGGCGGGCGGTGGGGCGAGGAGGACGATCCCATGCGCTCCCACTCGGCACACTCTGCACACGGCACGTCGCCCTGGGTCGCCAATTTCTCGGCCCCCAGAACCAGCCTCGAATCGCTGCGTGACGCCCACGCTTCCCTCGAAATGCAGCTTGCCAGCGTCGGCTTCTCGGAGCCCGGTATGACAAGGGCGAGTCGGATGTTCTCTGGCGAGCCTCCACTGCCGCGCCACTATGCAGACGCGCCGTGGCGGTTGCCGCCGTCCAGTGTGCGCGTGCTGGCGCTGCCTCTCGCCGACGAGTTGCTGTCAGACGCAGCTGCACGTCGGCTGAGCCGCCTCGCGCTGCGAGCGGCGGAAGAGCTCGCCGGCGTGCTGCCGATGGGCACGCAAAGCTGGACGCCTTCATTGCGCAGTCTGCACGTGACGCTCTTCCATCCTGGCGCCGCCCCAGGGACGAGCCGCGATAGCGCACCGCCCACCCCGAGCCCGAGGGCGCTGCACCACGAGCTTGAGCTCGCGCAACGTCTTGCCGCATCGGTGCCAGCCAACCTCACCCTCCTGGTTGACCGCTTCGTCATCACCTCTGGAGGCGTGCTCCTCCTCCTGTTCCTGCCCGATCACAACGGCGCATGCGTCGAGGCACTGCGTGCGGCGGCGGGCCGCGCCTTTCCAAGCAACACGCGGCATACTTCCGGCTTGATCCACGCTTCGCTGCTTCGGGTGGTCGTTCTCCCTCCAGGATACCATGGCGCCGCGGCCGATGTGGCTAGGGCGGCGACGGCGGTGTGCGAGCGATGGACGCGCCGGCTGCGAGGGGTTCGCATCTCGCTGAGAGGGCTACTCTATGTGAGAGAGCAGCAGATCATGACGCTCGCGGGTGCGGGGTTCGTGAGTGAATTTTCACACTTTCACTTTCACATGTGAATTCATGTGAATTTCACATGAAACGTTTCGGCCGCCCCCGTTTCACACTGAAAATTTCACAAGAGTTCGACTACTTTCGAAGGCTCTGGCATCTCCGAGGCGGCAGCGGCGGAGGCGGCAGCAGTCGAGGCGGCAGCGGCGGAGGCGGCAGCGGAGAGAGCGGCGGTGCGCCTACCACTGCCGGCACCGGTAGGGATCTCTGTGCCACCAATGCCGCGCGTTCCTGCTTCCCTGCAGCGAGGCCGTGGTCAAGGCCGTGGTCGTCCCCAAGGCTCAAAGAACAGGGGCCCGCCCTCACTGCATCAAAACGCGGTGTGAAAGCGAGGAAGTGTAGAAAGGAAAGAGCCCACAATAACTAGTGAGAGGAGGTGCAGCTTGGTTCGTGTCCTCGGGCGCTCGAGGACGTGTGTGTTGCCTCAATGTTCTTTTAATGCGCGCCCCCGCCGAAATACACTGCAAATACACCATACACGCGAGATGCGTCGGCAGCGACGCGCACGACCTCTTAAGAAGCACCGTGTCGTTAGGGTTAGGGTTAGGGTTAGGGTTAGGGTTAGGGTCAGAGAGCGTTCAAGCCGTTGTGCAGCTCCTAAGAGAATGGTCCGGTTTGGGCCGAAACCAAATGGAGGAATCAGCGGTCCGTCGACACGAGCTCTCGGTGAACGCTTTGGGTTCTTCGGGCTAGGGTTAGGGTTAGGGTTAGGGTAGGGTTAGGGTTAGGGTTAGGGTTAGGGTTAGGGTTAGGGTAAGGGGTTGGTTGTCGTCGCGCGCTCTCGATATCTGGCTAAGACAGAGACACAGCAGCAGAGGCGACCCAAGCGACACATCAGAGCATGGATGCTTGGGGGCGCGAGCCGCCATCTTGGACTGTAAGGCGAGTATTTGCAACCGGGAGCTCGCCGCCGCCCCCCTACACCGCCGCCGCCGCCCTCCCGGTGGCAAATAATAGCCCAAGTCGAAGAGTGCGCCCCGCCCTCGGTATCTGGGCGGCAGGCGGGGCTAGAGTGGCACGCTGGTGCACGGATGGGGGCGCGAGCCGCCATCTTGGACTGTGAGGCGAGTATTTGCAACCGGGAGCTCGCCGCCGCCCCTACACCGCCGCGGCCGCCCTCCCGATGGCAAATAATAGCCCAAGTCGAAGAGTGCGCCCCGCCCTCGGTATCTGGGCGGCAGGCGGGACTAGAGTGGCACGCTGGGTGCACGGATGGGGGCGCGAGGCGAGCCGCCATCTTGGACTGTGAGGCGAGTATTTGCAACCGGGAGCTCGCCGCCGCCCCCCTACACCGCCGCCGCCGCCCTCCCGGTGGCAAATAATAGCCCAAGTCGAAGAGTGCGCCCCGCCCTCGGTATCTGGGCGGCAGGCGGGGCTAGAGAGGCACGATGGTGCACGGATGGGGGCGCGAGCCGCCATCTTGGACTGTGAGGCGAGTGTTTGCAACCGGGAGCTCGCCGCCGCCCCTACACCGCCGCCGCCGCCCTCCCGGTGGCAAATAATAGCCCAAGTCGAAGAGTGCGCCCCGCCATCGGTATCTGGGCGGCAGGCGGGACTAAAGTGGCACGCTGGTGCACGGATGGGGGCGCGAGCCGCCATCTTGGACTGTAAGGCGAGTATTTGCAACCGGGAGCTCGCCGCCGCCCCCCTACACCGCCGCGGCCGCCCTCCCGGTGGCAAATAATAGCCCAAGTCGAAGAGTGCGCCCCGCCCTCGGTATCTGGGCGGCAGGCGGGGCTAGAGTGGCACGCTGGTGCACGGATGGGGGCGCGAGCCGCCATCTTGGACTGTGAGGCGAGTATTTGCAACCGGGAGCTCGCCGCCGCCCCTACACCGCCGCGGCCGCCCTCCCGATGGCAAATAATAGCCCAAGTCGAAGAGTGCGCCCCGCCCTCGGTATCTGGGCGGCAGGCGGGACTAGAGTGGCACGCTGGGTGCACGGATGGGGGCGCGAGGCGAGCCGCCATCTTGGACTGTGAGGCGAGTGTTTGCAACCGGGAGCTCGCCGCCGCCCCTACACCGCCGCCGCCGCCCTCCCGGTGGCAAATAATAGCCCAAGTCGAAGAGTGCGCCCCGCCCTCGGTATCTGGGCGGCAGGCGGGGCTAGAGAGGCACGATGGTGCACGGATGGGGGCGCGAGCCGCCATCTTGGACTGTGAGGCGAGTGTTTGCAACCGGGAGCTCGCCGCCGCCCCTACACCGCCGCCGCCGCCCTCCCGGTGGCAAATAATAGCCCAAGTCGAAGAGTGCGCCCCGCCCTCGGTATCTGGGCGGCAGGCGGGGCTAGAGTGGCACGCTGGTGCGCGGATGGGGGCGCGAGCCGCCATCTTGGACTGTGAGGCGAGTATTTGCAACCGGGAGCTCGCCGCCGCCCCTACACCGCCGCGGCCGCCCTCCCGATGCGTCGAGAGTCGACTCTCGACTGCTGAGTCCTGAGAGAGTTCATCCCACCATCAGCACCGTATTCGCCCACAGCATGCCATGAGATTCATATAGGTCTAGTGTACACATCAGCTCAGCGAGAGACCAATATCTCCAGCCTTCTTCATCTTGGCTGCTGCTTGGGAGCCAACACCTGTGCAAGTGAGTGTCAGAGTGTCGGAACTCGGTGGGAGCATCCGTCACCACATCATTCACGTTCACACGACTCTTCACACTCGCTCGAAAAAGTGAAATTTCGTTTCACATGAAATGTGAAGTGAAAGTGAAAGTGAAACCGATTCGCTGTTTCCATGTGAAATCACGAACCCTGCGCGGGTGAGTCGTGGCGCATGAGGTTTGGCGAACGGGGTCGGACCGCGAGGCCTTGAGAGCCGTAGGAAAGAAGGGGGCCGTGCGAGGGAATCGAGGTGCGCTTAAACAGAGAAGTCAACGTCGTGCATGTGAAAACACAGCTCAGCCTCACACACACGGTACGAGCGCCACGCTTCACGCGAAAATCGACTTTGCCTGCTCGGCCACGCACTCGATCGTGCCGCCTTCTTCTCTGCTTGCAATGAAGGGCACGTTCTTCTCACGAACTTTATTATTGCAGGTGCGGCGCGGCCGCGACGCCGGCACCCGCACGTCATTGGGTGGGCCGTCTATGGCCTTGTGCCCCGCGTTTGCGCACTTGGCGTAGGCCTTCGGGATGTTCCCATTGCGGCCGCATAGATCCCGCAGCCCATCGACCGCGAACGGCAGCGCTGTTTGTTCACACGTGGCGTTGCAGCGCTCGCGGAACTGCGCGCGCACAAGCTCAAAGTCCATGCGCGAGTGCATCGAGTGCACCACGAGCGACTTCGCGCTGACCGAGCTCGTGCAGAGCCCGCGCTCCGCGTCGTCGCGAAACTCCCACCCGTCGTGCACGATGTCCCACCCCCAGTGGAGCGGTGTGAGCTCCGGGAAGGGCGCGATGTGCGCGAAGAAGCCAAAGGCGGAGTCCTCCCCCTTGACCCAATACGGCGGCTCGAAGCGCGCCGACGCGTTGTGCCAAAAGTCGTACACGAGCCGCGAGCCGGCGATCCACTTGACGAGGTCGTAGCTCATCCCCCAAAAGAGGCCCGCCGCGTACGGGTACGGCCCCACCGCATCGCCCCCGCCCGGCAGCAGCGGGCACTCGACTTTTTTGGCGCCGGCCGCCTGGAGCGGCCCAAAGCCGTAGCCGCACGGCTGAAAATTGCGGAGCGAGTAGGAGCACCAGAGGGTGTTGCCAAAGTAGAGCGGCCCTTGCCGCGTGGCGAGCAGCGTGCGCAGGGTGTGCTCGAGGCGCGTCGTGTGGATCCACGTGTCCCAGTCTGCCTTGAGGAAGAAGCGGGTCGTGCGGTGCAGCACGACCACCTGCTGGAACCAGGCGAGGATCTTCTCGCCGGTGCACTTTGGGTCGCCGCGGTACGGGTCCTTTGTGGCCTCGCGCGCGTTGACGAGGGCGAGGTCGCCGTGCGCCATCTGCTCCTCGTGCAGCTGCTCCACCTGCGCCGCCGAGCCGGACGTCGGGGGCACCGGCGGGAGGCTGCTCCTTCGGCGAGAGGTGTGGGGCGGGCGAGGGTGGTGCGTGCGGGAGGGACGCGCCAGCGAGTCATCGTGCCCCTCGCCCTGGTAGGTGAGGAGGCCGATGATGAACTCGGCGCGGACCGAGCCGCTCTCGTGCGCCAGGTTTGGGTACTCTGGGTACCAGAGCTCACGCAGAAGCGCGCGCCGCTGCCGATTCGCCTCATTGATGCCCACCGGGAAGCCGATTACCGCAAACCACCCCTCACGCCGCCGGGCAGGTCGCGCATACGCAGGCGTGCTGACTGTGCCGTAGTTTTGCTCGATGTAGGCCCGCTTCTCGGCCTCGGGCAGAGTCTTCCACCCGTTGGCCGGCTTTTCACGTGCGGCGCGCACCTGTCCGCGGACAGTCGAAAGCACGGACGGCGGCGGCGAGCCGCCGTTGGACACTGGACACGGCGTCGGCACTGGGCACGGCGTCGGCGCTGGGCACGGCGTCGGCACCGGGCACGGCGTTTTCACCGAAGCTGCAGCCGACGCAGAGACCCTCGCCTCTGCGAGATGCCGCGACTGAGCATCATGGCGCCCCGCCGGCGGCGTCGCGAGATGGTCGATGAGGCGTGTGAGGCAGAACGTCGCGAGGGCGGTGACGATGTGTGATGCACGCATGATTGCAGCTACCACGGAGGTAGCGCCGAGTCGTGACACAGGAGCAAAACCTGGAAGCACAAAAAGAAATCGCTGGCCGTGCAAAACGTAACCCATCCCTCCCTTGGGTTGTCTGTTTTCTTTCTTTCTTTTTTACATACGAGAGAGGAATCCCTGGGACCCTGTCGTGTGTGGGTGAACCCTGGTCCCTGCCCAGCCCCCCGATTGAATCGTGTAGACCGCGACTCTCGAGGCGAAGACCGTGCGGGTTATCTCTGGCAACCCCATCTCGACACTGGACAAATTCTTTTTCGTGAGCCCCATAAAATTCTTTTTCGTGAGCACTGTTCCCGCGTTTTGCCGCGGTTGGCCCAACTCTAGGCCCGGGCCACTCCCTACTGCTGCTGGGCCTTTGCGGCGGCGGGCGCGGCCGGAGGCAGCCCAGCCCACCGCTGCGAGCCAAACTCGGCCCGCGCGACTTGGCGTTATTTCTTACTTTTTTTATAGATCAACACTTTCGATAGACCGAAAGTAAGATCGTTCGGTGCAGAAACCCCGGCCATGCCCATGTAACGCAATTGTGCTCGATTTTTTCTCCAAGTCTTCTGGACCCATCGATGGCCGTCGCCTCGACGCCGCTCGTCGCGGCACCATCGTGCCCGGCCTGGGCGAAGCATCGTCGCGGGCGCCAGCCGCAGTTCGACGGCAAGCCGTGCGAGCCTGCTAAGGAGGAGGACATGTGGCTGTGCCTGGCCGACGGCCGCGCGCGCAGCACCGCCGACCTGAAGCGCCTGGCGACAGCCGCTCGGGTGCGAGCGAAACGAGCAAGAGATGCAGCCGCCGCGAACACGCGCGATCGGCAGGCGCGCGACCAGCGCCGCCGGCAGCGTGAGCAGCACGACCGGCGCGCAGCGCCGGCGGTCGCCAAGACCGTGCGCCCACAACGCGGCCAGTGCGGCTGCCCGGCGCACGCGGTGTGCGGCATGTGCGTCGACCAGGGCAAGCTCGCCGCGGCCGAGCAGGCGGCCATCGACCTGGAGACGCGCTTCCACGCCTCGACGAACGTCGTCATGGACCTGGAGCGGCCCGAGGACGAGACGGCGGCGCTGCTGCAGCGCTGCGTGCACGTCTCCGACGAGACGAAGCGGCGGCTGCTGGGCGAGTGGAGCGACGAGCGCATGGCGCACGCGCTGCCGCTGCACGCATGCGCCTCGTGCGGCGTGCGGGACCCGTCGCTGACGTACACGCGGGTTGACGTGTCGGCGCTGCCGCGCACTGTGTCTGTGCGCGTACTGTCCAAGCCTAAAGTCTGGGCAGGTTGTCGGGGACACGATCCCGGCATGAACACGCCGATCTGGCAAAATCCCGAGTGCCTACCGCACGCGCCGCGTCGCGGCGCGTGCGGTAGGCTTTGTTTGAAGTTAAAAGTCGAATCAGGGCGCCGTCGGCGTTGTCCCCCGATTTTGTCCCCCGGACCGTCCGTCCGGACCGCTCCGGGACGCACGCCGGCGAGGCACCATCAAGCTGCTATACGGCCCCGGCATTGCCTTCCCAGGCTTAGCTAGACTGAGAGATATTGTGCACATGGTTGGTCTCTACAATATATACACTGACACTGAACCTCTCAGAGCTCGTCCCGGTCCGTCACGGCCATCCTCGGCCTCCGGAGGGCCCCCGGCCGCGGCGCGGTACGTCGGCGTCACAAATCCGACCACAGAGCACCGGGACGCGGTCGGGCGATCCGAGGCCCAACTAGGCGTATGCATTGCCTATCCAGGGCTATCACCTGGACCTATCAACAGGCGCCTGCGGCGCCGTGGTCAGGAGCTGCTGTTCACGCCGGTCCACACTTTCATAGTGGACAGTAGCCGGCGGCGAAGACGAGACGCGGCACGTGTTTGAGCTCTCGCCCGAGCAGTGCGCTAAGTATCGAGGAAAAGGAGTTGCGGTGTTGATCGCCGCGGGAGCCCTCTTATTTGTATGTAGCTCTTACGAACATACCCGAGAGAGAGAGAGAGCTCAGCTTCCGAGCTCTCACGCCGCGCGTAGGGCCCTTAGGGGCCTAGAGAACACAACCCCCTCTCTCTTTTCTCCCAGTAAGCTAAAAGTACGTACCCGAGGGTGAACTGCTGACAGGGTTTTTTAGGGTTAATCAGTCTTCGCGTGCCGCCTGTCGTTCGACTCGGGCGCCTTGTGCGTCGGGGTGGCGAGCAGGGGACGAAAGCTAAAATGAAACGTGTGCGGGATGTCTGTGGGCCCGAGAGCGATATGCCATGAGATGTCCGCCTTGCGTTGTTTCATAACATCGAAGGCTAAGCTCAAAATAAAACGGATCGACCCTATCAAGTGCTCAAGTGCTCAAAGGCGGGATTAGAAGCTTAGAATGCAGAGGTAAGTCAATTTTTAGCATGCCAAATTAACTCTGAATACAAAAGTCCGGTATCTAGATACTCGTGGGCAACGCACTGCTCAGGAGTGTGGATGCGGAAGGCTACTTTGGCGTGCGTGGATGCTTCCTTCTGCTTGAGGATGATGTCGTCTGTAGCTCAGAACTTCTCTTCTTTAAGGCAGTCTGCGAAGAAAAGGAAGGTGGGGCCCTTGTCGGTCTGCTCCTTCTGGTAGGAGAGAGCGAGACCAGCAATCCATGTTGTAGTTGGCGCCGGCGTAGAACTGGAACTCATCGAAATTGCTTACGATGTACTTGACGGCCTCGGTGGCTCCCTGCTGGAATCCTTTCACGCGGTCTTCCTTGCCTTCCTCCTTCAGTTTGGTGACAACACTCTTGAAGAAGCCCTTGACGTAGGACATGAAGTCTTTCTTGGTAAGCTGAACCTCCTGGAGTGGGAAGGCATCTACTAGGTTGACGACCATATCGCCATCGTCATAATAGTCTGCGACATCATCGGAAGCAATGGCGACGAAGTCGCTGCTCTTCTTGGTGTACTTTGCTTTAACTTCCCAGATGGCGTCGTTGTATAGCTGCTGGTGGGGGTAGGAATCAGAGAACATTTCATCTCCGCTGATCAGGTCCTTGAACACTTTCATCTTCTCGTCCGCGTCGGTCTACCAGGCAGCACACAGGCATCAGATAAATGCAAAGTAGGGGCATCCATGTGTGTGCGAGTGCGAGAGATGGAGTGGCCAGCAACATGAGATGGGAGGGGGGGGAGGGGGTCGAGGCGGAGAGAGCGGGCGACTGCGCGGCAAGGCTACAAGGTGCGCACACCTTGAACGCCGGCTCCATCTTTTCAGCCGCGACGAACTCCTCCTTGAGCGCTGGCGCCGGGGCCAGCGCATTCGAAAAGAAAAGGCAGCATGGTTCCGCCGTTTCGTTTCGTTCTCGCGCATGGTGCATCCTGCCCGCTCCCCGCAGCTACGCTGCTGGCAATTGATGTCGCACGCGCATGCCCACCCTCACGGCACCCACGCCATACCCGCGCGCTGACAACACATACCTGACATGCGCACTGCACCGACATCCAGCCAGGCTCCCGCGTCGACGTTGACGCTAACGAAGAGAGGCGCGTTGAGCCGGCGCAAGGAGCACGTCTCACTCACACCACCACTGACGGCCTCCCACTTCTCGGCCGCAGCTTTTCACACCGTGGTACCTTCGGCTCCTCGTCGCTAGCATCATCAGCGAGTACACCCTGCCTCTCGCCGTTTGCCCTGGCGAACGTGGCCGTGCTGATTGTCTGGTGCACGGGGGCGCGTGCTAGCTGACTGTGCCAGCTTCCCGGCCTCCGGCGTCTATACCGGGAGCCTCCCGGACCATCGACCTCGGGAGCTCTCCCGCACCGTTTAAGCGTTTAAGACCGTTTGAGGATTCGGCGGCCCAGGCAGCCTGGCCGGTTTTAAGCCGTTTAAGCCGCAGGCGCCCCAGGGCCCACCCTGGTAAGCCTAGGGGGGCGGCCCTAAGGCGACAGACTCGCAGCGCGGTGCTCGGTGGTCCCTACTCGAATCATAGAATTTAACAAAACAACTCTCTCTCACAGCAGACAGCATAGAAAGAAGAAAACAGAGAATAGGGAGGGATGGCGATGGGAGGACGGCACGCCGCCGCCATACTCGAATCGCACGTGTGCGTGTGCGAGGTGGCAATTCAATTTTTATTTTTGATGGGGAAAGGTCCTCTCGGCGAGCACCAACCACGGTCGGTGCTCGCGGATTCGACCATCCGCCTTCTGATGACTGCGAATCCGATGGCGGCTTCTGAGTTTGTTTTGTTGGCTTCTGTGAGGACGACGGCTTCTACGTAGAAGCCGTCGAGTAGAAGCCGTCGTCCGCGCTTTGCCTGTTGTGTGAATCTGAAAAGAAAGAAATAAAACAGACAACCCAAGGGAGTGTGAATCTGAATCATGCGCGACCCTCGAAATTTGGGGGGAAAATTCTTTTTTTTGCGCCCGCCTCGGGCGCCCCGGCGGTGAGGGACGCGTACAATTGTAGTGCAAATGTCGGCCGCAACCCAGCAGGCGGCCGCGAAAGCGGCCATCCGGCGGATGAGGGGCAACGAGGTGTGCGCGGAGTGCGCGGCGCCGCAGGTTGAGTGGTTGGTGCTCGAGTACGGCGTGGTCGTCTGCATCCGGTGCGCCGGCGGCCACCGCGGACTCGGCTCTCACATCTGCAAGGCGTGCCGCCGCCGCGCTCACTCGCCTCACGGCAGCGGTCGCGTGAGACGCTGCGCCCGCCGTCTCGGCAAACAGGTGCGGTCCATCGACTTGGACGACTTCTCCGAGGCCGAGCTTCAATGGGCGCAGGAGCACAGCAGCGTGCGGAACGCCGCCATCGCAGGGCCATCCACTATTTACCACAGCCGGTTGGCGGCTGTGTAGGCGATGGGCAATGCCAAGTCCAACGCGATCTTCGAGGCGGCGCTGCCGGCGCCCGCGCTTGTGGTCGCACGACCGGCCCACCAGCGTGGCAACGACCTCGCTGTTAACAGGCGAGGATGAGGCGGCCGGCGGCCGACGCGTCCGACACGGTACGGCGCATCTGGCTTCGCGCCAAGTGCGAGCGCTGAGCCTTGCGGGGGTCGGCGCGCGCCGCTCCACGCCCAGCCGCCCCGGCGCACAGGTACGACGAGCAGCGCTTCGTGGCCGGGGCGGTGACGCGCGGGCCGCTACCACACGAGCGGCACTCGGGCTGGCTGCAGGCGCCGCGGCCGCCGCGGCCGCTTTCGCGCCCCACTGCGCCCCCGCCCGCCCTGAGCTGACCGCCCGTGGCGCCGCAGAAGCGTGCGGATTTCCTCCCTGCCTGGCGGTCGCGCTTCTTTGCCTTGGGGGCCGGTGGCACACTAAGCTATTTCACCGACGAGTCTTGCAGCGCGCAGAGCCAGGTGGGCCCGGGCCTCACACACGCACACTCGCACGCCCGCTCCGCACCCCCCCCCGCCCCCCGCGCACGCTCCCGCCACCCTGCGTCTCACGCGGCACCCCTCCCGCGCCAGCGTGGGTCGTGGCACCTCGCCGGCTGCACCGTGGACGAGGACTCCACGGACCCCCTCCTCCTTCGGCTCACTTTCGAGTCGGCCGTCGGTGGCGGCACCCGATCCAGCGCGGGCTTCGGCCAGGCAACCGCACACGGCCGACGCGCAACGGTGGCCCCTGCTGTAGGCCACGCGGGTGGCGCCTTCCGCACCCGTGTCGACAGCGCGCCCTCGCCCCGCGGCCGAGTCGTCCGCTTGCTGGCGGCGTCGCAGCAGGTGCCAAGGGACCCTCATCTGCACGCCTCGGCGCGGCGCCGCACCACCCTTCCGAGTTGGCATCGTAGGAGGCGGACGCTTGGGTCTGGGCACTCTACCATGCGACGCACGCAGCGCGCTCCTCCACAATGCCCACATCGAGTACGGCTAGCCGAGCGCGAGCCGTCGGCGGGGGGACGTGACTCCACCATCCACGGGACCGCGCTGCCCTCGCGCTCCTGAGGAGGGCGGCGGGGCGGCGGGCTGCGGGCACGGTCGTCCGCGGCGGCTGCGGACCCGCCCGCCCACCCCGCGGCGCGAGCCTCGTTTGGCTCGCAGCCCAGCCAGCGCAGCGCCTCATCGAGCGCCGCCTCGCCGACGCGCCCCTCGAGGCCGCCGAGCCGGGTTCAAGGAGCGGCGGCGGCGGACGGCAGATCAAGGAGGACTTGCGGGGCGTCGAGGACGGCAGCGGCTATCAACGCGACTTTCGCCCAGTACTTGCGCGTGCTCGAGCTCTTCGTCCGAGAGAGTAGCTTCTGGCAACCTGCGCCGCGCCTTTGCGCAGGTCTGTCTGCTATATGTTCTGATCCTGCATTGTGCGATCGAGGACGGCGCCCCCCGGGAGGTGAGCGGCGCTGGAGGAGCTCACGCCGACGATGCATTCGGCAACCGACCCGAAACGAGATGTGCACCTCGATGCAGTTGGCGCACAGCGGCCAGCGCACATCCGCATTTTGTGAGAGCGAGACTCATGTTGAGAGACGATGGTCGATGCGGTGTGAGATTCTGAGAGAATCTCGCAGACATCGCCAAGAGTCAGGCCCGCCCCAGAGGAGAGTTTTTTAACAGATGCGGAGCAGCGCCTCCCCAGTCTCTCGCCAAAGCGGGAGTTCCGAACAGCCAATTTCAATTACACAAGATTCAAGAACGTGGGGCTCGTTGTGCGAGTATATGGGCCACGATGTCTCAAATATGAGGGGGTTTGACTCCTACCAGCTCCTGACGCTATCCCTGGCAGCTCTAATGGCCAGGATCAGTAGTGTTGTGATAGAGGGTGCCCATACTAGCGCAGGAGCTGCCACACTCGCCCGGACCGTCCCCTTCTGGGGCCGGTTCCGCAGCCCGCGAGAGCCGACAGCGGGGCTGTGCCGCGGGTGCCTACTGCCGAGTGCCACAAACACTGCGCCGTCCCGCCATCACCTACAGGCTGTCTTGTGTGATTGTTGGGATGTCCAAACGCCACCATCTTGGCTCTTGCGACCTCAAACCCGCGAGCTGTATGGGTGGTCCTGACGTCGACAGACGCCCGATGACCACGGTGAATCTGAGCCGGAACGCGTCGACAAGTCTCGTCTGAGCCCGTGGCGGTCGCCGGCTGAGTCGCCGTACACGGGCCGGTACCTCAGGCGTCACCTCCGCAGCCTCAGGTCTCACACTCCATCACCTCCGACGGGACGCCTTCGGTGTCACGCTCGGCGGCGACTTTGTGGCAGCCCCACAGCGAGCGCGGCATCGAGCCTGTTCGGTCTGGTCGGTTCGCGGCACTCACTGGGTGCCAGGGAGTGCCGCCGACACGCGAGCGGTGCTTCCTGACGGCGCGCGCCGGCTGTGGGGCTGCCACAAACTCGAGACACGCTTTTTGGTTGCTTTTTGGGACATTTTCGACGCTTTTGGCGCATACCTGGATGTGAGGTTACCGACTGCACTCCAAGTGTAGGTATATTGTTGGCAAATCAAGACACAGAGCTCACACAGAATCACAGCGGGAGGAAAGCGGCGAGTCGCAATTCCAGGGGTCGTTGTGGCGGGCCACCCTGTCCAGACGAGAGGCTGCACTCCAAGTGCTCCAAGTGCATACGTCCACACCCGTCACCGCTCACGAGTGCTCCGCGCGTGCCGCACCGGCCGCCGCCGGCCGCCGGCCGCTCACGGTAACGGAACAGTCTTACTACTCCGCAACGTGAGCTGGATCATACTGAATAGTGCTCCTGAAAGCCCTCTCTCTGGGCTCTGCCACACAGCAGCTGCTGTGACGTATTTGTAGCCATTTTTAGGCTTCAACTGGTCCCAAAATAGTAGCAACACCTCATGAAAATCAGTCAAAAAAGCCCCAAAAAATCGGCGCCTGCGGCGGGCTTCCTGGGGCTGCGCCCCAGACCCCCTTGACTGGGGGGACCCCCCCCGAGAGAGCACCCCCGTCGCCCCCGGGGGCCCGTCGATCCCCCAGGCTCGACCGCGTCGTCCTCCGGCGGAAGCTCCGCGTCGCCCGCGGCCGCTTCCCGAGCGCGCTCGTCGCGCATCCGCTCGTGGTGGGCCTGCCGACGCGCCACGCCGGCGCGGCCCGTGTGCCTCGCCGCCGCGTCCGGCGCCGGCATCGATCGCTGCCACAGGTCGTCCCACTATGTCGTCCAAAAGAGGACGCATCCAAACCGCCGCATTTCGCCCGCCGAAAAGTCTCCCACTCGCGCCCTCCCCAAACCCAAATGCTCTCACTAGTTACATACATACTCGCACAACATGCCGTGGGCCTGCGGCCGCTCTCCACCGAGCTAGCTCACATCGACCACAAGATGGGCGCGCTGGGGCGCAAGTTGCAGCGGCATGTGTCTACTTCTTCTTACGCGCCATCTTCTTGACATAGAACTCGAGCTCCTTGCCCTCGAGGATGTAGCCATCGCACCGGCCGCACTGGCCCGGCCGCGAGGAGATGCAGGCGAGGAGACGGCCCGTGTCGAACTGGGAGTTGATGTTGGGGTCGATGATCTTCTCAGCCTGGCGCGCCGCGATCTTTTTCTGCACCGAGCTCGACCGCTGGACGGGCGCCGCGTCCTGGGGGGTGTGGGGGTGGTGGTGGGGGTGTGGTGGTGGGGGTGTGGTGGTGGGGGTGGGGGTGGGGGTGCGGGGTCACCGCGGTGGGCGGAGGGGCATGAGGATGGCGATGCATGCTCAAGGCCGGGGAGGGTCGGGGAGGGTGTGTGATGTGTGGTGTGTGTGGTGTGCGGGTGCGGGTGGGGGGTTGTGGCAACCGGCAGAGCGGACAGCAGCCCACACGGGACGGGGTGTGCGCGCTATCCCAGACGGGAGGGGGTGGTCCCTCGCCTTCTCATCCCCCGCCTTGTCCTTCCGCTTCTTGCCGAGCGTCGCGCCATAGTGCGCCTCGTACCACTGCCGGAACGGCCTGCGCAAGGGCCGGCGGTGGATGCGGTGATCTCGCACATGGGCTGGGAGCAGTCCTCCAGCCAGTGGCCTCCTCCCGCGATCCCCACCGGCATCTCGCCGGCGCTGCGCTCCCAAAGACCCGCCCAACTTTGTGCCCCCCCCCCCCCCCCTTCCCCCGCCCTTTGTGGGATCCGCGCGCAAGCAGCGGCGCAAACTGCCCGGATTGGGGGGAAGCAGGTCCCCACCCCATCTGCCCCTCCCGACATCCATCTGTCCTTGATCCACACGCGCCCCCGCCGACCGCTCGGCCCGCCGGGAGCCCCTTTGCCAACCCGCCGACCAGGCCTCGCCTCGGCGCCACTGCGCGCGGTGGTAGCGCGGCGGGGCGTGCGGGGCTGCGGGGCATGGGGAAGGGGGCGTGGGCGGCCGCACGTCGCGTCAATCTGCACCACGGCGCTCTTGACAAGCGTCTTTGTGCGCACAAGCTCGTTGTTGGAGGCGTTGTAGACGACGTCGAGGATGCGCGTCTTCCGCGTGCACACCTCCGACCCCCACGAGAAGTTCCCCGTGTCCAGCCGGATGCCGCGGAACTTCATGTTGCCGCCGCGGCAGCGCACAGGGTGGATGCGCTTCGCGCCAATCTTGGTCATCGCCATTTGGCGGCCCATCTCATGCTTGCGCTTCTTGTGGTGGTGCGGCTTCTTGCCGCCCGTCAGCCGCCGCTTGTGCTGCGAGTCGCGCGAAATGCCCATGGCAGGCAGAGCGCGTGCCCCGAGCCCTCCACCTGACGCCGGCGGATTTCTTTTCCTCTCCGGTTCGAAAGAGAGAGAGAGTGTAACAACACGATATGTCAGTCCAGTAGCCGCGCGAATGTGGTCAGAGCCTCTGCAATTAGCTCCGCGCCACGGTCGGCCGCCAGAAAACACGCTGGACGCTCCCCTATCAATGTGCCAGAGAAAGCAGAAGACGAAGAAGGAAAACAGACAAACCCAAACGAGGGATGGGGGAGGAGGACAGGGTCCTCCACACCTGCACGAGCAGGATTTTGGAAGGACGATCAGGGGCACAGGTGGGGGTATGGTTCTTGCACTTGTGCAAGATTGGGCGTCTTCTGCAGCAGTCCCTTTGATGGGAGGCCCCAGGGTGGGGGCCACCTCGAACCCCTGGCCAGGGATTCGAGCGGAGGGTGCCCCGGATTCATCTATCCCACTATCCGTTGGTTGGCCTGTCCGAGGGTTTCCGGCAACCCAGAGGGAAACCAGAGGGTCCCCAGCACTTTGCGTTTCCGGAAGTTTCCAGGGAAACCAGAGGGTGTTTGGTGCTCCATTCTGTTTCTCTCGAGTTTCCCTCGGGAAACTCGCGAGTTTCCCTGAGTCTGAGAGCTGGTCTGGGGCAAAATCTGGGGCAAAATTGAGGAAATCGGCACGATACCCAGGTATTTTCCAGGTACCGGGGTTTTCCAGGTATACCCGCAAAATACCCCGGGTATTTTGCCGATTTTGGCCCCAAAACAGCCTCAGACACGGCTCAGAGCCCCCCCAAAATGACGAATTCCACGGAGTTTCCCCGGGGTTTCCCGAGGAAACTAGAGGGTGTTGTAGGGAAACGAGCAGGAAACACGGAAAGGAAACCAGGTAGGGTGCGAGAGGAAACCCTCGGACAGGCCAATCCGTTGGGCCCCGGCACCTATTTTAGAACTGATCACTTTGCGCAGCAACCGTCGGCCGCCGCTTTTTAGCTGGACGGCAGTACGCTGCGCCGTCGCTCTGTCGTGCACGCTCTCGTGCTTCGTTGTTGTGTGTGACCCACCCGTGTGTGATCAGTGTCTACGGAGGGAGTGTCTTTGGCTCACGCCAGGGCGCTCGTTGCTCCTCCGTCTCTTTGTATCTTCCATACTGCGTTTATCAGAAGACCTCTCCTGCTCCTGACAAGGGACACCCACAGAGAAAGCAGGGCGCTATCGATATCAGAAAAAAACCGCCAGCGACATGACGCCGCCCAAGCCGCCCACGAACGTGACCTGCTCGCCCGCCCATGCCGCGCTCGCCTCCGCCTTCCTCGACTGGCACGCGGACCCGGCTCGGACGTGCGGCGGTGGCGGGGCTGGCGCCGCGAGCCTGCTTCAGCGTGTCGCGGGGCTCTGGAAGGCTGGCGGCCTGGCGGCCGCGGCCAGCGATCCGGAGGAGAACTGCGAGGAGTGGGCGCTGGCGCACGCGCTTCGCTCTGCGAGCGGGGCGCTTTCGGCTTTGCGAGCGCGACCGGAGGTCGAGGCGCTTCGGACGCGGGTCGCGCTCGTACTGCTGACGGCGCCTCACGGCGTCAGGTGGGTCGACGCAAAGCAGAGAGCCAAGGCGCGCAGCCTCGCGGGCTCCAAGCGGCTGCACGCGCTCATCGCTGAGTGCACCGCCTCTGCCGCGGCCGCTCCGTCGGCGGCTGCCCCTGGCCGCCCGCTCGCGCACACCCCGCTCCAGAAGCTGCTGGCAAGGCAGCGTGTGCGGCTGCGGGCGGCAGGCGGCGGCACGGCTGCCGCCGCCGACAGCGGCGCGCGGCTCCAGCTCGCCACCGGGGGCATGATGCCCCT